AAAAAAAAAAAAAAAAAAAAAAAAAAAAGAAGAAACAAGTTTTTCTGAACTTCAATTTACAATTACCGGCAGAACTGATAATGTTCACAGCAATTGTCAATATATCGTCGTCGGAACAACAATTGTATATTTATTCAGAGGTAATAGGCCAGTTAGGCGAATCAAAATTATTGCTGCTTCAAAGTAGAGCATTTTTTTCTTTGAACATATACCCATTTATGCATACAGTTTATATGTCAGTTGAAAAGAAACATCAAAGACACAAAAAAAACCATCTTATACATCTCAAGAAATCAAGTAACCCTAATTGCTTTCTACTTTCTTCTGCTGTTTCTTCTACTTTTCTATCTACCTGAACACTTAAAATAGCTGTAAAAAGTTGCCATTTAAATTGCAAAAAAAAAAAAAATCTATCATTATACGATCGATGTCATTAAGTTTTCAAACGAAAAATACAGCTAACTACTAATAGATCCAATTCTACTCTTCTAGTAGCTTTTGATTTTTCGTCTTTCCTATTTACCCTTTCTCACTCCCCTCCTTTTCCAAATTCATATTGTATGATGTATGGGTGATATAGATAAAATTTTTGCTGCTGATATGTTCTGCATCAAAAAGACAACAAAAAAAAATTTTTTTACTGTTTTTTTACCTTCTAATTACTTTCGCTGATAGCTCAAAGAATTCTAATAAAAAAAAAAAAAGAAGAAGAGGTTGAACCTAGTTAAAATAGGACTTACTTCAAGTTCTTTCACTTTTTTCTTATTACGTTTATTATAAGTTTTTTGATAAGATAATGAAAGACGAAAAAAGTATAGTAAATGAGTGAGAAGTTTTTTTTTGCTTTTTTCCTAGAAATTTCTTTTCATTGTTCTTTTTTTAAACAATTTTAAGCATCTACGAAATTATTGCTTACTGTTGTCGTTGACGTTGTAAAAATGTTTTCTTCCAATTGAAAAACCTTTACTTTTTCTGTTTTCTGTCAGCAATCAGAAATACTATGAAAATATTTGCACTTTTATCAGCTTCTGAGAGCACTAATTATTATGCCTTGGTTTAATTCGTCTAGCTTCTTAGTTCTTTACTAGAACAGATTTTATATAGATTTGGAAAAAAAAAATATGACAATTTTTTGTAAAAACTTTTGTTGCTGTTGTTGGCGATAGTGGTAGCAATGTCAAAAAAACTTTCACCAATTAACAACTATTAAACCACAGTTTAGTAAACGGTTATCCATCCAAGTTGATACATATGACATTTACTGCATAAAATTATAAAAGTTTCTTTTTTGTGTCCTTAAAAACTTCTTTTTAGGTGACGGCGTTAAACTGCAGGTAAACGTCAAACAGTTGCTTAAAACTGTTTCCATTTACAACATAAAGTTAATAAGTATCAATACTGGTAAAAATTTTGTTCGATTTTTCTGTCAATGCTTTTTTTTCATCCCTCACCTATGGCTATAACAATACTTCTGAAAAAAAAAATCAAACCAATGACTGTTTTTTCTTTTGTATCTCGCAAAGTTCAATGAGATCAACGTTGGTAAGCAGTAATAAGTGTCAAACTGTGCTGAAGTTATCCTGATTAATTTGGTTATCGTTTTAACAAATAACATATTTTCTATCTGAAATTTATGCAAATTTTTTTTTCTGCAAAATCTGTTATTGTGTGAATACGAAGAAATAAAAAGAACCAAAAATAAAAACAAAAAAAAAAAGATTGGATGACGGAATAGACGTTTATATGTGACAATAAGCAGAAAAAAGCGTAGAATAAGTAAATCAGCGAAATAACTATTACCGTCTTATTAAAACAATATTTACACTTTTTTCGTTTTAAATTTCTTTTTCAAATTTAAACGATTCTGTACCACGAAATTGGCAATACATTTTGGACTGCCTAGAACTATTCCTCTTTCCCCATCTATTTCCAAATACCTTTTTCTCTTTTCACTCAGACAACATTGTTGCATTTTCAGTTAAATAATAATTTTCGCATGTCGATGAGTTTCATTAAAATTGTTTTTATCAAAAAAATTTCTCTATACAGCTGCATTCTTTTGGGCATAATTATACCTATCCAAATATCGTTATAATACTATTTACTACAGAGAGCCTATGTAGCAAAAAAAAATTTTTTTAATCTCTCTTACAATTGACCAAATAGGGTTCTGCAGTCAACTTCTCGCCAACCTATATTTGACTGCTTTTACTACTTGTACTCCAATAATTTTAAGCTATTATCTATTTAAATAGAAGAATAACTGTTCAAAATTAGTAATTCTTTGTAACTTTTGAAAGTTAGCATTGGCTTACAGTGACAAGTAAGAAAAATGCTCACCTTCTGAAATGGCACTTTTAAAAGTTTACGTCTGCATGCTTTCAGTAATGTTAATTTGCAACACCTATTTGGAAAGAATAAAAACAGTGACAGATACAAACAAGAAGGTTACCTCCTTGGAAAATCTACCAACTATCATCTGGTAGTACTTTCAGTTACAGATATGCACAAAAAAATGGTTATAGAATCTGGCTGTAATCTTCTAAAAATTTTCTTCTCCTGCTGCACATTTATTTTGACTCTATATATATGTATAACCAGCAAACTATATGCTTTACACAAGTTTACTGAAATCTCAAAATCAATGAGGAGGTCAATGAGAGCCAAAGTAAGGTTAAGTTTTAGCTTTCAGTTAAAAATTTAAAAGAATTAATCAAAAAAATTCTTTTGTGAAAAACCACAAAAGAATTTGTAGTTAGATGTTGGTAAACAGAAAAATGTGCCTCGTAGTTGACAGCAATTTGGTATCATGCGAAAACTTAACAATTACTAGCCAAAACATACCAAACATCTATATAGTTACCCTTTACCCAAGTATTTTCCATCTCTCTGCACTTCCTACAAAAAACCTGCGAGAATGAAAATAAGGCAGAGGAGAAGAAGGAAGAGGACGAAGTGAAGAGAAAAAAGGTAGTGAGGACGAAAAAGAGGAAGAGAAAGAATTATGGCCCCTTTCATGACTGAGTCTTCTTTTTTTACCCTGACGAGAACTATCCCAATTATTCATTGTCAGAAGTAATTTGAATCTCCATCCGGTTATACAGTCGTCTAGATATCTATTACATTATATAATTTTTTATTTACTGTATTTATAAATTCTTACATATTATTCTTTAGCAAACAAAAAAAAAAAATGTAAATTTGTCAGTGGGAAAAAATAATAGTTGCAGTATTGAACATGAAAATTTTTCTAGCCAGTATTTTGCTCTGTATAGTCTTTCCATTTTTATTTCGTGTAATACAACATTTTCAGTCAGTAATTCAACAGCAACAGCAACAACAAAAGAACAGTAATAATCTAAAATAAAGTTGCAAAAATTGAATTTATAGCTAAAAATACATTAAATTAACTGTCGGCATTATTTTAGAAAAAAAAATAAAGGAAAACATTATATAGTTGTGCTCTAAAAAGTTTTTAAATCATTTATTCTTCTTAGAATAACAAACCGATAAATATGTAGTAATAGCTTACTTGCTTGCTTATTCTTTACAAAGAAAAAAAAGACTTTAGTATTTTCAAAAAGGTTTCATTCTGCATTTGACATTCTCCCTAACTGACAATTGTACAAATTTACTTTTATACACGCTTTTCACAGTAAGTTATTTGCTATAGTTACAATGGCGTTTCTTTTGAAGTGAGACAATAGTAACAATGATCTGTCTTAGCTATTTAAAATAAATCTTTTTACCAGAAGTCTTTTGCAGAAACTTAAAAGATGACGTTAAATAATCTCCGCTAAAGACTCAAAACAGTAAAAAACAAAAACTCCTTTCTAGTCAAAGATTTGTTGACCTTAGATCAGCATTTGACGACACTGTTCTCAGTACAGTTTGCTATCACATCAAGAAATTATTTTTTACTACCGTGTACTGCTTTACCTCTAAGTGTATCGTTCACCCAAAGAAAAAATGTATTCAATTTATCACATATTGTTGAAAGATATAAAGATGGCCCAAAGATATAAAGATGGCGAAAAATCACGAATCAGGCTTGTTGACTGACCTAAACAGACCAGAAAGTACTGCAACCAAATGTTTTACACTTTACAAACGTACAATATCACTTGTTCACAGAATGCTACTGGTTTCACTGTTACCGATGTGAACCCACAACTTTGCAACAGTTCCTGTGCTCGACGTTTTCCCCATTTTTGACCAAGGCAATAAGCGTCTGAAAAAATTTTTTTCCTATCTTTCATTTTTACGGGAACTGTTGTTTATTATCATTAACAACAGCAGTGAAAAAAATAACGAATAAAAGGAAAGGTTTTTGTTGTACTGCTTTTAAAAATTTTCCAAAATTCCTTCAAACTAATGCCTGATTAAACAACAACAACAAAAAAAGTCGTTCATGAAGACGTCCTTGAAAAGTTGCTGTGTACTATGATGATATATAGTGAAATGGATGATTTATTAACAATATACCCATTTCAACTTACCAGATGCGTTACTTCCAACTGGCAGACAATGGAATAGAGAAACTGCATACTGCATGGTTGAACCCAACTGATCGATTTGTTTGTCTTCATAAGCATTACTGGTTCCATTGATATCTGCCATCGTAAACACTCCACCATCCTTGAGCACTCGACGAATTTCTTTCAACGTCTAAACAGCAATACGGTTAACCACAGAAATACAGCATAAACATCATACAAAATTCTTCTTTCTTTTGGTTTTCCTTTGTCACATCTGTAGTTGCCTGGAAAAAAAAAACAACAACAATTCTTAAAAACTAATTTAGTTGATATCCATTCAAGTGACAACCATTAAACAAAGCAAATGACTCCCATTTCGTGTTCAAATTGTTACTACATGATAAAGATCAAATTTTGCTGTTATAATAAAAGGTCATACAAGATCCGGACGTATAAGATCATGGCAGACGTTGTACATCATTACCCAGTCGAATTTTTTTGTCCACTCAACCGGCAACTCTCTAACATCCATAACAAGGAAATTCAAGTTCTCCAGTTTAAGGTTATTTTTCCGACTAATTCCAGTATCAATGGATTCTTTGCTGAAGTCACAAGCAATAAATGACGAACTGGGGAAATGTTTGGCTGCAAACAACTATTAATATAAACTGTCTTCTCCTTATCGCCTACACAATTTGAAATGAAGTTATCTCAAAAAAGTGATAAAATACTGATAACAATTACCATATAATTCGCAACTGCACTGTATTCATAAATCTAAGCTTACCACACATCAGTGAGTGAAAGCCAGTACCACAGCCTACATCCAGCACATTTAAATTTCCTTCCCTTAATTTTTCCGACATACCAGTCAGAGGAATAAAGTCGGGAATAAAATGATTTTTGTATTTTTCCTGAGAGGCATAGTCAATGAACTGATATATACCCGGGTAATCGTCAAAAGTCATTCCTAAACAAATGTAGCGAATATTATTGACAAAATTATATGACAACAAAATATAAGTGTTTAACTATGCTAAAATCACCATATGGTCCACTGCGCTTGAAAACTTCTTGAAGTTGAGGCATAAGATGAGTGAACTGGAAGAATGTGCTTATCATTGGAATCATATAAGAGGCATTTGGACCGCATAAAACATCCGCATTTTCTTTAGTAAGCCAAAAACGCTCGCCACTTTTGTCCATTTCGATGATTCCACCGCAAGCAACACAACACAGCCACTCTTTAACATATCTAAAAAATTGTCTTTTTAAAGACATACACAGCTGAACAGTGATAACCATAAAAATATGCTTGCTGACTTTTGGTCGTCTAATTGAATATTCATCGTTCAAGAAATTCATTAAAGGTAAGTATACTGTTAGACCAAATAAGCGCTTTAATTGAGAAAAAAGTTCAGAAATCATAACCTCTCTTTTAAACCAGCTTTTTCAGCTACCATTAAAGGTGTAGCTGGTTTTTCTTCGCTAGAAACCTCAATTAAGGTCTCAAATAACTTTAAATTGTTTCCAAGAACTAATGCCATACCAAGAAGACTTGTAGATGTTACCTCCTGCAATTGACACGATAAGGTGCATCAAGATAAAAGTGTTACAATTATAGCAAAGTAAAACCGTCCAAAAATTTTTAATTGCAAAAATCTTCTGTAATGATTACCGCAAGTTTTTTTTTTAGCCCTTCCATAGTTGTTGGTCACCCCGGATAACACGAAACAAACTGCAAAAGAGTTATGTAATGAACAGTTATCAAATATAAAAAGCTGAAGCGTCTCTATTTCTTTTATCTTTCCATCTTTATTTTTGTTCATTTGAAAAATTGATATATAAGGTGCCAATTCAACCTATGCATTTTTCATAATTTTTTACCATTTCCTATTTGTGGATGTCTTTTTTGGAAAAAAAACATTATTGATTCAGATGGTTGTCAACAGCTACAATGACAGCACAAGTCCTGCTAATAAAAAATAAAAACTGTAAACAATTCAATTAAAGAAAATTTTTTTATCAAACAATTGGTTAAGTTTTTCAAACTCTATTCTGACATATATCAACAAGTAATAAGAGAGGAAAATGTGAAAATAGCCTGCGAAACTACAATGAAGTGTTCAAAAAAATAGATCGATTTTTCTGCGTTTTTTTTTTTCTAAGTTTTTCTGTATTACTATATACCGTTTCCAAATTGAAACACAAAAACATGATCTTCGATTAAACGAGAATGAATGTATAGATTTTTCAAGTTAAAAAAAAAAGCGCATATAGACGCCATAAATTTTTTTAGTAATAATTGGGAAAAAAACAACAGTATTTTGATTTTCAACACCAACACAACGTATCAACAACTACACCACCACATTCAACGTCAGCAACAACAACAACGACGGCGACAGCACCAGCAGCAGCAGAAGCAGTGACAACAACAGTGACAACAACAACAAAAACAGCAAAAACAACAACAACAATAACAACAAAAATCTTTCGTGGAATTTCTGCAACATCATGTAAATTAACCAGTCAATAACACTGTTCTAATGTTTTATTCATCAATCGCATAATACGTTACAATTTGTCCGCATACGCATAGCTTGAAAAGAAAACTGAACAAAACATTAAAATTCGAAGACTTCTGCAAGTGAACTCTGTACAGCAATGTTAATTTGATATTCACTTTTTCAACACTTCGTTGACACTCTCGCAAAATTTAACAACAGATCGATGTCATGGAAATAAGCATAGCATATATTAGTAGTATTTGGAAGTACATTGTAACAGACTGTATAATATTGAAAGGCAATTACGAGAGAACAAAGTAACAAAGAAAAAAAAAACTAGAAAAGACTGTACAAAAAGTTTGAATGGTTAAAGAAACAGTACAATCTTGCATCAAAAAAAAAAGTATACCGCTTAATCGCGCGACAATGCAACTGCGGCGTACAGTCATACAAACCATTGTATTATCATATAAAAGTTGACGAATTTTAACCGTCCGTTGCCCAACAAAATACAGTTTGAATTCCCTTTGAACTTTTTCCCCTTAAATTTAATCTTTTCTTTAAAAGTTTAATCTCC